TTCTAAAGGATCCCCTCTCTTTGCTGTCAGCTGAGCAAGGAGACTGACCACGTTATTAATTGGTTTTTTATGACATTGGGGAAAAAAAACCATCCATTTTTGCTATAACATTAAAATTTAAAACTGAAATGCATCTTGTCTTCATGAAACAAATCTGAGATTTCATTTTCAGTTACATATATTTTATCTACATCCAAGAGCACCAGACAGTTTACTGAAATCCATCCTTCTCTGACATTGGCAATATCACAGTAAAAGATCTAAATGTAACATGAAAGATGAAAGTATTTAACACATTATAAATATAGATAAGTATATTTTTAATACAGATACATTGAAGAGGCATGGCAACCAGTTAAGTTCCTTTGAAAATGCCAAATCAATTGTTTATCTGATGCATGAAGCTGTAGGCAAGTATCCTAGTGATTTGCTTGCAATGTACAAGCTTTTGTTCATATTACACAGTGAAGACAAACAAAATCTGCAAACTTCTCAAGTTTGTTTACAATATGATCCAATTAATTCCCATATGATATTGAATAACCGTTTCTGCTGTATTTAGTTGCTAACCACTTTTGACACCAAATATTTTTCCTGGTGGTTTTAGTATTCATGGCCAGGGATGGGAGAAGAAGGTGTGAAATCTTGATGGGATCTAGGGGAGGCCCAGCTACACCCATGTGGTTCCCCCAAGCTCACCCTGTATTCTTTGATGGGTTTGTTGCTCTGCATCTTTCTGGTGCCTCCAGTTACCAGGGTACATAACCTTATACTTACTGTTCTTACTCTTCACTGTAATAGACAGTGGAAAGTCAATTCCACAATATTATCTCTCCCAACCTCTCATAGACAGGCAGGCTGTCTACAGAGAATTTTAAGCTGAAATTTCCTTAATGCTTTGGAAAATTTTAAAAAGTACCATAAAACTGCACAGTATTTTAACTACAAGAACGACTTCATGGTTACTTTGCTTTCACTGCAAATTGTGTGCATTCTCGGATCTTCCAAAACCTTTCTAGAGTTTCCACCAGAAGACAGTTGGCATTGCTTCTCTGAGGTATACACACCAGCCAATTCAAGCAGAAGACAATTTTGGCTGAGTAAGTTATGAAGCAGTGATGTCTATTCCATCAAGTACTCTCATTCCAGCTGAATGTGGTTGCTTCAAACTAAGTCTGTACTGAAGGTTGCAAGGTTGGTTCAATTATCCATTTGCACAAAACTTACCTGTTCTATTGTTTGAGAATCAATCACAAACATTCATCTGCAACATATAAATGAATGTTGTTCATGACATGTTGAACTGTTTGCTGCAACCTGTTGGCTGCAGGTTGCTGTCTGATGGATAGTTCCTGCAAACACACAGGAGCCACTCATGATGCATTCCGTCTCACTGTTGGGGAATTATTTATAATATGTTGTTTTATGTGACTGTTTAAAAATATTTTAAAGCTAATTAAAGATTTTAATGCAGGAAAATAGTAAATAATTAATTTAAAAGACTGGGAAAATAAGAAGTTTTTCAGTTTGTGAAGAAGTGCCTTTGTCCACTTAAGAAATTAAGTGTGAAATGTGTGAGTGCCACTTATCAGCCATCAGAAGAATAGATGGATAGAAGTGGTCCTGTGAAGGACTCTCTGGAATACAGCAAATATAGTTTGTTTCTCTCAACACCTGCACAGGCTGCATCACTGCTGCTATTTTAATCCAAATCCTGCCAATGGGTAATCAAAATCATAATGGAGATCTCACAACAGTGAAACATTGGCTGTCTTGAGTAGTTACAGTGTATTCATCTGGACAAAAATGTGAATGTGGTATATATAAGTCCATTTTGCAGATGGAGATTAGGAGATAATAATAGAAGGAAGGACTGACCAGTTATTATAGCAGTTATAACAATATGGATGTCTGGGCTGTGTCTGTTCAGGTGATCCATGCAGAAACAGAGCAGCCTCATATCATAGTAAAAATAGAAGGTGGTACTGCCTTGAAGAAACTGCCACTAAATTCCTATGTAGTCCTGTCATTAGGAAAGGGTTCAGAAGAGAGTAACAAGTCTGAAAAACCTACGTAAGTATGATGGATGCAATATGCTATTAAGAAAGAGCTGAAAAGAAGGGTCATGCCATAAAAGAGCTGTTGAACACAAAAGAAAATGGCAGAAATGAGACTTCTATTTCTGGAAAGTAAATGTAGATAAATCAAGGTAGAAATTATGTACCTACTTCTTGGTGTGGTTAGTTGACCCCTGGAAACTACTTACCTAGACATGAACCTTGCTTCTGTCACTTGAAATCAGTAAGCCAATACTGGGTATATTACAAAAGTTGTATTCCACCTCAGTCAGGAGTTCTGAGTTTGCAAGTGTTTTCAGGTGTTGGACCAAAGAGGTCAGCAATCAAGTAATCCCAAAGACCCTGCTAAAAAGAAGAAAGTGCTTCAAAAATTTTACTTGGAAAGCACTCAAGTGGAAATATTAGTCATGGACTGGAGCAAACAGATTTATACAATGCTATATATAAAAGCAGAATAATTTTATGCACTGAACAGTAAGGAAGTTTTCAATGCTGAAATTTTGAGCATTTTACCACAGTAAAAAATAATAACTGGCAGCTTGCCTGTAACAGAGGAATCTCATCTAGGCTTTTGTGCGGAAGCAAAGGGTCTCATAGCACTTGCAGCTGAGTTGCAATGCATCTCCGGCATAAGCATCATTTGATAACCATTATGCTTTCTAATCACTTTCTAATTAAGCTGTGTTATTATAAATATGATGTGCAGCTGTACTTTATTTGTCATATTCTTCCTTGGACTTATTGGCTCCAACCTGTAGTCTAATTTTCATACTGTGGGGCTGCCTGAAAAAGTTCATTTTGTCAGTTGTGGCTGCTAAGTTGAAAACTTCATTCCTGCTGCAGTCTGTTACCTATGCCCATCTCCTTTGATATATCCCTCCTTTCTTTCTTTCCCTTCCTTTCCTTCCTTGTTTTCCTTTCCTTTCCATTCCTCCTTCCCTTCCCATTTTCCTCCCAACAAAACCAAGTAATAGTAGCTTCTGGGCAGAATATTCAACCGTCTTACATCTGAATGACAATCACATTTTCAAATGTTTTGTTCATCTTCTCACCCAAAAATACAATGTATTCACATCATTGACTCTAATTGCATTTGTAAAACTCATTGACATCTTTCATGTTTTACACTGCTTACTTGTTTTATTTAGTGCAAAAAGAAATGCACTAAAGTGGACTGCAGCATTATTAAGTCATAATGTTTCACAGTGAGAGGTCTGGATACCATACAAATTCCCAGATGGGTACGATAAGTGGGATGGGGGAATCACTACTGTATTCTAAATGAAGTTAATACCATTCTACTGACTTCACTATCAAAGTTACAAGACTGCAGTACAGAATATCCTCCCAAGACTTTGGAGATTTAACAAAATTATTTATGTTCAGGTTTCTGAAGAGCAACTGTATGTATGTTTCTGCACCACCCATTACCCAAAAGGAAGGAAAAAAAAGAGAAAGCATAGTTAGTTTTATTCACTACTACTCTTGGTTACCACTCTATTATTTCTAGGTTTATGTAACTAATGTTACATAATGTGTGCAACAATTATCGTAATATTTCTATTGTAGGTTTCTAAAGAAATTAAGATGTTTAAAATATCTGTTAACTACCAAGGTAATGTTTCATCATCTCCTTATTTGGTGGTAAAGCAAATACAGAATTGAAATGATGAATCTCCATATTCTCATGCTATACAAGCAACATTAATTAATTCAATATGACAAGCTTTGTGAAGTATCTGGGTAAGTCAATCTAGTATCATTTTGTTCATGAAGCCCAAAATATAGACTGACAAAGCACAAGTATGAAATGCATTTCAATCAGTTTAATCAAATAGAGTCAATGTAAAGAAAAGGGGCATTGTCAAGATGTGTCAGTGAACATTTGACCTGCCTTGCAGTTAATATTGTTTTTGTGCAAATTTCTCTTGGGGGGATACCCGCTCTTCTCTGCATTTCAGTTCTAAAAGCTGAAAATTTTATTTTTGATCTAGTGAGTGGAAATCTTTAGTAGGAATGATATAGGAAAATATCACTTGCAAATCATTATTCACACACAATCTGAACTTGTGCAATCAGACCCTTTAAAGAAACTAGACTATTCAGTGTGACTTTGACTTGATTGTAAGAAATTCTGCTTTCTCTGAATGGTCTTTTTTGTCTGTTTTGCGAGATGCCAAAGATGTGACTATAGAGTAGCAAATTCAAAATCTGCTGTAGAGTTTATCTTGTTCTCTTCTCTAAGACTTGCACAGGAAAAAGATGAGGGTGCAAAGTGAACCTAGGCCAGAGCCAAGTGATCACAGAGCTTGGCAAGCTGTGACTTTTAAGGTCAGTGGAAGGGGCTTGCCACAGACGGCTTCAGTGAGAATTCAAGAGGGATTCCCTGGTAAAATAATTCAGGATTTCTCCCAGGAGAGAGTACCCAAATCTGCCTTACTTCTCTGCATCCCAAATCTCCCTTTGTCACTTTCCATTATCCCAGTGAAAAGCAAAGTAGAAGGCAGGCCTGTATTTATTTCTGACAATTTCTTCACAGATTTATTTTCACAGTGCTTGATCTAAGGCTATAGTTTCTGATCATGTTCAATATGCAGAATAATTTAATGGTCAAATCATGGCACAAAAGGATTTTGTTTTGTCTGTAAATCTACTCCTTGGCCAGGGAATAATACAGTTGTTTTAAGGCCTTTTAAATCTCTCTGTTACTTTCTCTGAAAACTATAGATTAGGCAGGATTTAAATTCTCTGACTGAAAACACACATGTATGCTCAGCAGAAACCAGAAGAGTAGCTGTTAACATTTTTTTCTGAAGAGAAGAGAAAGCTCTGGGTGTGGCCAAGATTTGGAGAACAATTTCAAAAGCCCATTTCCCACAACAATATGTATTTGATAGCCTTGTTCTATTTTCTGACCTTCAGCTTTCTCTGCCTAAAAAAGTCATCATTGTCTAGCGGCTGTGGTGACCTCAGAGACATGAATCAAGTTTGCCAGGATATGGAGAGATCTGCAAGGTGAGTCTCTAATAAATGTCTGAGCAAACTTCTCTATCCACCGCTTTGAAGTGTTGAGTGTTAGCCCCAGGAATGAATGCTGACTTATCAATGCTAACTTTCCTACCACTCCTTAGAGACAAGAGGAAACCCACAAATTCTATGAATTTCATCCCTCTGATGATTGTCATTTGTATCCCCTCCCCTGATTCCTGGTGCCTTCCCCTCCCCCAAACATTGATGGAGCCGTTCCTGGAGCACACCAGTGCTTATGAAAGCGTGACCAGAGCACAGTCAAGCTCTGGGATCCCAGTGGACCAAGTCATGCTTCCAATATGTGCACACTCTGGTCTGAGCAGGGACCATTGTAACGACTCATCTGCAGGGCAGGTTCTTGAAGCAATGCTCCAAAGATCAGGACCACACATTTTTCTCAACCTGCTGATGAGTGAACCATGAGGTGTTCACAAATCCAGAGAGATTTCCATATAATTCAGTGTTTCTCCTGGACCTTTTGAAACCTCAGTACCGTGTGGAAGTGTTGCAAGTTCTTTTATGTGATTTTTTTGAATGCCTCCTTCTTCAAACTTTGATGGAATGAGTTTAGAGCTACATGGAAAGAATGATTAACTGCAGTTTAATGAACCACAGGAAAGGCTGATGCCTGGTTCCAGCTCTGGAGACGCACCTGTATCAGTCTTATTTATTTGAAGTGGTTTACCCTGTAGTTTTATAGCCAATGAACTAGAATAAATGAAATGGTCTGAAGTGTCTTATTTTGATATTTGCAGCATTTTCTCCCCAATATTTTATATAAACCTTTCTGTTTTTCATGAATATATGCTGCTTAGTTCTTGACTAAAACATTTAACAGTGTGAGAGTGGAGTATTTTGCTGCTACAGTCTTAGACCTTCTGAAGAGCCTAATCAAAACCAGATTTTTTTCCTTTAATTGGAAAAGAAATGAGTGTTTTGCACTACACACTAGCTAGTTAGTGCTATCATAAGCAACCCCCTATTAATCACGTACCATTTTTTGCAGCTGTGTACAGTAACTGACCTGCCTAGATACACTATAACTGAAGCAATTAAGGATCTTTTGTGATTTTTATGTAATTACCACTTCTGAGCTAGGTTGCTAAATACTTGGGACATTTGGGGTTATAATTTCAAGGTCATTATATTTTTGTTCATCTCATTTCCTAGGAAACCCATTTGCAGAATTGCCTAAAGCATCCCAGATACTGTACATTAAAGTATGGCAAATTAATTCAATCCTACCTCCTTCCACTCGGTAGGTGCATGTCCATTTTTCCAGTGTCTAATACACGGTATATTTTTAAATTGTATACTATTGCATGTTTTAATGATGCAAACAATGGAGAGACCAAATAAGCTAAAGAGCTAACACATTTATCTCTACATTCTGCCATCTGTTTGAAACTGCTGATGTAATTCCAGTTTTAAATTACATTAGATCCTGCCTTCTGGACCCCTTTCCCTATTTTCTTTTTTTTTTTTTTTAATTTAAGCCTTTAGAGAAAGCAGTGCCTTCAGGTTGTTGAACTACGTAATAAGAATCTGTGTCTTTTACTGTTTTCAATCTAGACTTAAATTTAGGTTTACTGGACAAAGAGGTATAGTGAAATAATAGCTTTATTTCCAAAAGATGAAATTATTCCCTGTGTACAATTTGATGAGATCTGTTTTCAGCAATAATGCTAGCAACCAGCAGATTTGTTTATACTGAAGAAACAGCAAAGATTAAGGTTTGTGTTCTTGCATATTCTATTGTCTAATGATGGAATTTCCAGTTTTATCTCTGTGTTTAAGCTTCAGAATTAGTTGAATTTCTTTTATGTAACTTCTTCCCCTTATTTTATTTGCTTAGTTAACAAACTTGTATTTATTTTTCTTAGCACTTCCTTTGCCTTTTCATTCCACAGTGGCAACACTCCATTCTCTTCTCTTCTGGCATCTTGTGGCTCAAATTACTTATTTGTCTGGATCTGATATTAATGTTGATCTTTTAAGGATTTGCTTACAGGCATGTTGGTCAGGGTCTGTCTTCAGCGTTATCTATCAAACATATAGCCTGATTTTTGCACAGTTATTTTAATGTCTTGAAAAATCAGACTTTAAAACATTTGCATCACATAAATTAAATTAATGTATTCTGGTTTACAGTTAATTTTTAAAAAAATGTTTTACTTTATTTTCATTCATTATCTACTCACAGAATATAGAAGGACTGGAGAAGTACTTTGGAGAGAAGTTGGAGTTCTATGCTAAAAAGTTTTCAAACTCCTCATTTGAATTGATTTTAAAAAGAGATATCACATAATTAAAAATCAAGAAAAAAATGCATTTCAAGCTACATTTTATTCATTATAGCAAAGAAATTTTTCATAAGCATATTTTCAAAAGTCATGATAACATTTTAAAAAATTGTACAGATTTTAAGATGATTGGAACAACTAACCCATTTAGAATTTCCAAACTATACAAAGTAAAAGTCTGAAAAAATGTTGGAATAGATTAGTTTGATTCTGATAGTTTTCTAGAAAGTTCAGATTGTTAGTGAAAATTACTTTCATCACAATATTTGCCTAGATTTAATTTAGAAAATTCTTTAAAATAAAATGAAAACTCACAATGTTAAACCTTTTTTTTTGTTTGCTTTGGAAGGGAAATAAACACTGGCTTCATTTTGAATTCAAACAGATGATTTTGTTTTTCACTGTCTGACTTAAAATGCAGAAAAATTGTTATTAATCAAATTAGAAATTTTAATTAATATGAAATGCTAGTCCTCTTACAGAATGGTGTCTAGGAACTGTGACTGTTATCTTACACAAATCTTAAATTTTCTCATTCAACCAGCTTCCAGAATGCTAACAATTTTAGTGCAACATCACTGATCCATGCCAGTTTCTGGGGAGGAACCTTGACCAATTCCTAAAGCACTGCTACCTATAAAAATTTACACAATCAGTCACTATGACTTCAGCCATCATCATGCTGAATGAAAACAAAAGTCTGGAGATTGAATTGTGACAAACATAATATAGGTTTCTACATTTCCTCTCCAGACACTGAAGCCAATGGCTAAACCAAAGTGGTGGCCAGCTGTTGGGAATATGGATGACTTCCTAGATTTTTGCTAGGCAGGCCATCACCAGTGGTCAAAATCTGAAGCAGGAAGGTGTAATATTCCCTCTCACTCCAGCATTGCTAACCTGGGCTGGATGGATATGGAAAAAGTCAGCAGGTTTCCATCAATTGTTGAGGACTAAGTCAAGCTTTAAAGTGTTCAATTCTGGATTTTCAGAGGTTGGTACAAAACCATGTAAACCATTTATTCATATTTACATATAAGACTATGTTCTATGATGATTCATCTTGCTATGAAAAATTAGTGCATAAAAGTTAAGCCAGAGATGTCCAGGTATGGTAAAAAAAAATGTTTTAAATAGATCGGAAGCTGATATCACAGATTCATCGAATCACAGAATGACTTGGGTTGGAAGGGACTTTAAAGATTATGGAGTTCCAAATCAGAATCCCTGGGCAGGGATGTTCAGGGTTCTGTTCAACCTATCCTTGAACACTTACAGGGTTGGGGCATCTGCAATTTATTTGGACAAGATGTTCCAGTGCCTCACCACTCTATGAACAAAGAATTTCTTCCTATCACCTAGCTGAAATATCTCCTCTTTTAGTTTAAAAACTGTTCCCCTTATCCTATTACTATCTGCTAGCATAAAAATTTACTCTCCCTCCTTTTCTAAGTGACCTTTCAGTACTGTCAGGCCCCAGTGAGGTCTCCCCGGAGCCTCCTCTTCTCCAGGCTGAACAACCCCAACTCTCATCCTGTCTTCACAGGACAGGCACTCCAGCCCTGTGAACTTTTATTTCCCCCTCCTCTGGACCTGCTCCATCAGGTCCACATCTTTCCTGGGATGAGGACACCAGAGGTAGATGCAGGACTCCAGGCAGGGTCTCATGAGGGCAGAGTAGAGGGTCAGAATCACCTCCCTCAACCTGCTGGCCAAATATTATCAGTTAAAACTTGTTATGGTCTTTATAGCAGATACAGAGAGTGACATGCATCAGAGGAGGGAGTGTGGATTTTCTGCGTACAAAAATACCACTGACTTATGGAGTCTGAGCAGTGTTGCCCAAACAAAGAATTGACTCCACCCCAGCCTACAAAGAAAAAAATAATTGAAGTCACATTATTTCTTCAAATACTCACAATTCCAAGTGTTTGGTAACCAGCTGCCTGTTGTGGTAATGCTCCCTCTTCTGCACAGAATTTGTATTCTAGACCTACATGAAATTAGTATACAAAATGAACTGAGTGATTTGTTGGAAGAAGTTTTTGTTGTGAAAACGTAATGAATATTTCATGGTTCAAATTCAAAGCAACTATAAAATATCAAGTTTTGCTCTGATGCATAAAAACAATTCATCATAACTGTTAAATACAAACCATATTCACTCATGGTATGAACCATAAATATGACAAGAGGTCTCAGAAAGTTGTAGTTATGGTTAAGAAGGAGTCTGCAGTGAATACAGTAAAATTCCTCCCCAATATTTTAAATAACACTATCTTTCCTGATGATAGATTGTATTTCATCGGCATCAAGATTTACAAATCGGTCAGGGTCAGCAAAACTCAATTTTTTTCACTGCAACCCTAAAACAATGTTGTCCTGGGTTTCCTCCCAAAATCTGTCCCAAACCAGGACAAATATAACATTCAAGTATATAAAAGAATTTTAAAAAGTCAGAAAATATATCCTGCCAAGCCCTGTGCCAGTTTATTTGCAAGAACCTCCGAACGTTTTACCCTGTGTGCACACCAGGCCCTTCAACACAGTTCCTGGTCTTACAGAGACACTTTTGAAATGACAGATCTCATGGAAGTCAAAGGAACTGTTAGTAAATTGAAATGTAACACTAATACCATGGACTATATTTCTCCTGGACTAAAATACATGTTGTTGTTCTTGAGATCTGTGCTATTGAAAACATCTGATACTTCTTTAGCACAGTAGTGCATGAGTCCATATGATAGCAAGACTGATTTTTAAACTGAATTAATAAATTTTATTTGAATGATTAATTTATTTAGTAATACTGACATCTTACATTTTCCTGCTGTTATTTTCTTACTATTGATTTACAGAACTGCATTTCTTGAATGGAGGTATTTGCAGCAGCTGGATGGATGGATGGATGGATGGATGGATGGATGGATGGATGGATGGTGGCCTGCTATAAGCTCTGTAGAACAGTGCTACAATCTGTGTTGTTTTACAGAAAAATGTCTTACTGTGGCATTCTCTCTTTAAGGGTTGAGCTGCCTGATTTGCACATAAAAACAGTGTAAAACTTTGGACAAAGAGCAGAAACACTGTGGCTGATGTAGTGGTTCAGAGATATAATAGAAGTGAGGCTTAAAGGGAGGACGAGTCTTTCAAAGAGCCAAGATTCCAGCCTAAAACTCCAATCAAACCTTCAAAAAAAATCAGCAGACTATGAAGCATGAACATGAAACATGAATATTGTTCCTATTACTGAATGAATATACTAATTTTCAAAGTGCATATGCCTGAATGTATTTACTTTAGAGGCAAGCTTTCAAAAACTCCTTGCGTATACAGCTTGATTCCAGCATTAATACAATTTGCAATGAGCTAGCTAATGAGCTTCTGGTTTTGAACAACTTGACTCTATTTATGAAAGATTAGACCCACTGAGAATCACATTATTCCTTTTTCATAAAGTATTTGAATCTAGCTGCTGTAAGGTTGCAAAATACTGCAGAACAGTCAGATTCAGAGATTATTTAATCAGTAATAAAATGTCATTGTAGGCAGCATAGCAGTACTTCCTAAATCCCCCGATGCATGGTCGGCTTATTTCATTAGAATCTGTGCTGGCTGTTCTCCAAAGATGCAGAACTAATGCTATCTGCAATTATCGGATTTTGTTAAGCACAGAGCATTTGACAGTTACAGTGTTAATGAATGAAGAATAGCTAAGCAAGTCTCTAATCCATTGCTCATTGTTTTAAAAAAAAAAAAAAAATTAGAGCCCAAGCCTGCCATACTCAGTTATAATATGACTCAAATCAGCAGAATAAATAGCTCTGCACCTTTTCTCCCTGTGAGGGAAATGTAATGCATTGCTTGCCATTTTGCAAATAAGAGGCTTTTTACTGAGAAATCCTTTGCTGAGAAATAAGTAAGATGTAAAGTTTTCTAACAAGTAGGGGTGTGATATCTACCTATCATGGCCATATTCCTGCCTGTTGCAAAAATAATCTCTCGATAGGAAAAGGAGGAAATAATCTAGTCTGCCACTAGAAATATCAGTGCCTTTTAATTAGCCCTTAGCAAGTGAGTTATCACGGTGTGTATTGCACTGTGTTGATAAAGCTGTGAGGGGAAATGACTGCAGCTAATGACTAGCTCTGAGTTCAGAATTGCAGAGTGTTTCATGAAGCTTCTGGATGTTGGCACTTTCCAAGAGTGATGGAGATGTGGGTCCCCTGGCAGAGAAAAAGGTGAGCTTGTGTGCAACTGGATCATGGCAAAGGACTTAAAATTTACATTTGTAATTGTATAATATTTGTAATTGCCTAATATTTGTAATTGTATTTTTTGTCAATGTACACATGATATATTATAAAATTCAAAATAAATATATTAATAATTCAAATACATTCCTTAAGAAAAAGAGCTGAAAACTATATTTTAGAGCATATAGGACTACTAAAAGAATTTAAAATTGTTTTGGGAAACAAAACTCCATGTGGCATTTTTTTACAATGTGGCATGTGGCATTTTTTTTACAACAGGACAATACTTCTATTGATCAATCAAACTTAAAATATTTGTATGTTTCAAATTACATCACCATCATTAATTCTGATAGTGACAGCTAAGTTTGGCTTTTTAATGAAGCAGTCTGGTGATAAAACACAGTGGAAAAACAATGTATGTATCCTGAATATGTCCTTTTTTCCTGTGTCTGCAGTCCATCAGCCCCAATTACTCTGCTCTTTTTCCACTCTCTGATTAACAGCAGCCACAGAGAATGATATCAAAAGTGAACAGTTTGGTTACTTTTCCCCTGCAGTGCCTTGGTCTCCGTCCGGCTGTTATCTGCTAACTGAAAACATTTTAGGTTAAATGGGGAAACAGTTGTAGAAACCTACAAGGCAGGACACAGGTATGGCCATTAAGAGCTGTTGCTGGTTCTCATGGATGAGAAAAATAGTTATATTGCCTCACATTTCCATTGGCAGCAGACTTTGGACAGCTGAAGTTGTCCTACATAGCCACCAAAACCCTTGTCATGGAGATGCATATTGGCAGGGCCATTGGTGTCCCTGGAGGGTCCCCATCACACCCCTGACCCTGCAGAACCTGCCTGTGGCCTTCAGCCCCTGCCTGAGCTCCCATCCCACAGTGCCCAGGCAGGGTGTTGTGGTTTAGGAATGCTGCTCTCCAGTTTAGTGCTCCCACTGAGACTCTCCCAACCGTGTGTTGCTTTTTTTTGTCCCACTCCCTCTCCCCTCTGCATCGGGCTGAAGAGGGGAATTAGAGGCACAAAAGGTGCCTCTAATCAAATGGAAACAGATTAGATGAGGTAAGAACAGTTTACAGGAAACAGCAACAAGATAAGGAAAGGGATAGTAACAATATTAGTAACTAAAGTGTATAGAAGAGAGTGAGTCACATGCCAGAGCCCAACTTGACCACCGGTGCCACCCAAACTCTCCTTCTGGCTCAGAACTGGAACAACCCAGCTGTTGCCCCTGACTTGGAACCTGCAGCAGCCCAGCATTCCTTCTGCCACATTTTCTTAACCAGAAGAGACTCCCTCCTCCCCACCTCTGGTAATGAGACACAGAATAACATCCAGATCCCAGCCACGCCCCTTCCTGCAAAAATGAGCTCTGTCCTGGCCAGAACCAGGACCCAGGGTGAGCAGGGCTGGTCTGGGGCTGCTGCTGGCACCCAGGCTGCTGAGGAGCCCCGAAGGCAAGAGGCATACGCAGGGCAGCGCGCCGGGGTAAGTTCTGGCAGGGAAAGCCCTTCTCTCTCCAAAAAGAAACACAAAAGGCAGCCAGAGCAAGGCTGCACCACAAGGGCGGAAAAGGCAAAATCCAAGGGTGATGGTGGCCATCCTTAGTGAGCACAGTGCAGTCCTGCAGTGCCTGGCCTGGCTGAGCAGAGTGCTGACAGCAGCTTCATGGGCAGGCACAGGCACAGCAAAACCTGAACCACATCCGCGCAGGAGACACAACCAGAAACAAAGCTGCAGCATGGCCCAGGGTCTGTCCTGGAATCAGTTATGCCTATGGAAGGAATGAAGAACAGGGCTTGAGTTTAGATGGAGCACTTTAGCCCACGGGCCAAGGATGTGGATGAAAGTTTCAGGCCAGGAAAGTTTCAGGCCAACGCCATTGAGGCCTATTGGTACACTCAGAGTTCTGAGGGATAAGCTGTTCCAAATATTAGAAAAATATCTATGATTTCTTATGAAAGATTACTGCTTGGTAATAATATATTTATCTTCACTTTAATAAATTTAAATACAGAAATATCAAGAATTTACAAAACCAGTTGTTTTGAGGAATGCTGTTTTAGATTGTTTTAAATGGTGCTTATAAAGCTGAATAAATTCCCTAAACGGACACCAAACAAAATGGGAATTTTACTACAATGAGATTTTTTTCTAGAATCATATAGTCATGTGGAGAAGTCTGGTAGCTCAGTAATCACAGGCCAGCCCTGAAATTCAAATATGCTTTTTCTGGATTTTTTGTATTTTACCCATGCAGATTACCCTGACTCAGGCTGTAACTTTGGACAGCTGGCCCTGGAAAGCATGGCTACAAAAGGAACTTCAGACCATCCCTAACCAAACATGACATGCACATTTTTGTGGGATGAGAATCACCCTCTATAAATATCATGAGAATTCTGGATGTTGTGTTGTGGCATTAAGGGGGTATGTGAGGAAATGTGTAGTTCCAAAAGTAGTTGCCTTTTCTCCCATTAACTAGCTCTTAAAACCACAGATGTCCCTCTTCAATAGTACTTTAGATGGTACAATGATTCAGCTACAGTTACAAGGCCCAAATATAAAGGAGGCATCTTTAATTTCTTCAAAACCAAGAACTGAGAAGAACAAAAATTCTTTAAAGAGAAGCTCCCTGGTGAAACGTCAGTATCCATTTTCAAGAGTCATCTGATTTAGTGTTCTTGCTTCCTTCCACACTTTGTAATTGGACATCTAAGTCTCTGATATGGTCAAAATTTGGTTTTTTTCAACATGTGATACTGTTTACAGAATAGAGAATTTAGAACTCACCTGTAGTTTGTTATATGTCCTGAATCACCAAAATTTTCTTTAATGAAAGTATGTACACTGGCTTTTCAGATTTTTTTAATAGTTTAATACTTCACCACTGACTATTTTTTTATATAAAGATATAAAAATAACAATAATAAAATAAAATGCTAGCTTAAGCTGGAAAACTCTTATTGACTTCTCTCACTCAGGCAATACTTCTTGGGAACTAACATAAAGCAGCAGAACCTGAAAAAGTCAGCCATTCACTGGAAGGGGCCAGATGGAATGGGTCCTGTGGAAAGATGATATGTGCCATCTGTTGGGACCCCACTGCTGGAACATTCTCAGGTAAAGTTTGATGGTCACTTGGTACTTTTGGAAGTTGTTCTAAATTGTATGTGCTATTAATGATTTGTTTGTATTCTTCTAAAAGTCACTGATGCTTTAAAAACTTATCTAAAGCACAGTTTTTGCTGATTGTTTTAAAAGACCTTAAATGTATTTTCTTGGATTTTCAGAAGGAGTTTTTATTCTGCATGCCAGTGCTGTAGTTGCAGGTTCTGATTAATTTGTCATGAAAAAACATCAATTGTTTTGCTGATATCCGTCAATTATTTCTACATTTCTGTTCCCTGCATATTTTGTGTTTCTCATCACAAAACCAGCCAACTTTGCTTTTAGGAGGTTTATTCTTTGTAAGTCTAGTAATACTTATCATTAATGATTCCATTGCCGTTTGAGGACCTGAGAAAGAGTCTCTAGGAGACCTCTGTGCAGCTGCCTACATCTTCCTGGGAGCCTCTTTGCATAGGTGGGGTTATGGGAAGTTCAGACACCCACCAGGAAGGTCTCTTCATGAAACACAGGCCCAAAAGCAATTCTCAACAGAGGAAAGTCTTTGGTCTAAAGGCTGTCTCATTCTTTTACATCTGGCAGTGAATATTTTGGCTTGTACCAAAAGCATTAATCTTCTTTGCGCAACATGGATCATCGACTCAGAAAGGAATTTACGGTAGCCTCTGGAGAAAGTTTTCTGTCAGTGACAAAAGGCAAAGCAGCTGGACAGACAGACTGTGCTAAGACCATTTGCTAAGTTCTAACTTAGGACTGTCTCCATGACAGCCTTAGCTGGAGCAAATGTTCAGGTCGTACTGCTCAAACAACAGTGAGCAAAGGCAGAATGCAGCAAGAGAATAAAAGCACAACAACTATAACTCTGCATTTGACTTGCTGTAAAAACTTATACAAGCCCTGTTATGAGTTCTGTACTTGATAAAGCTGGGATAGCTGTTCCATCTGCAAACTAATTGGATCAAATAGTAAGAAGCAAATTTTTCCAGAGTGAAAACTAGACTTACATTTTAGAGGCTGAAAAATCTAAGTACCACAAAATACTGTATTTATCTCAGCTTCACAAAACAATTAATCAAACTGCTGACTTCCACACATGCTTATGCCACAGAGGGTACAGGATTTCTGCATTAATGAGGAAACTGGACTTTTGCAGAGGTATGTAAAGATGAGTTTACTCAGAATACACAGCCTGCTGAGTCAGTGATGCCTAACATGAGATACATCACTGCTTACAACAGTGAGATAAATGTGTAAAACTTTGTGTTAGGTGGAGGAATGATCAATGAGAAAGAAAGATTGAAAGTCCCCATTAAAATTTTAAATCACCCCAGTTTAGAAAAAAGTTCAGGGAATGTTCTGTCAAAGAGAAAATCATAATGAGCACCCATTACATAAAATATAAATACATACAAACCCATTACATAAAATATAAACCATCTCAAAGTAGGCATTTTACTTATTATAACCCATATAGAATTATATCAATCCCATTAAAATATTTCACATAATGCCTGCTGCTTCATACAATGTACTGGTATTTCATTTTAGAGCAGCAGCTATATCCACTGGGTTTGCAGGGAAGCTTATTTTCCAGCTGCTGGTGGAAAATATTTCTGCTGAACCCGCTGGTGTTTTTCCAAGCATCTTATGGCTAAGGCTAAACCAAATACATACTATCTACTACTTTACCTTGTGTTTAGCTGAGCCATTAAACATAGTATTACACTGTACTCTTGCAAACTTCATAGACTGAAGGATTTAAGATTAAATGATAGGCTTCTCTAGAAGCCTGAGAAAATTCTTGTAGACACATTGAAAACACTTATATTCAACAGTCAACTAAGTATCAAGGCTACTTAATGATCAAATCAAGATCTGCAGACACCACAGCCTGCACACTCTTTCTTAGAAGATTTTAATCTTTGTCCTTGTCCTTCAGTGGAGTTTCTTTCCAGAGCGTCTTGGCTTAATAAATGCCTTTGAAGAAGGCTTCAGCACAAATAAAAGAGTACTTGTGCAGCAATCTTGGGTTCTTATCAGCTGTATAGTGATCAGGTGAAGGAATAATTTATTTCAATCAGCAACACCTGTTTTTATAATTGCTCAAGTGATTATAATTCAATAATAAAAAGCCAATTTAACTATCTTTACTCAGATATTAACCTCTGATATACAGCATTAGAATGAAATTGCCAATGGTTAAATTCCCTTAAGAAAACAATTGCTATCTTACATTTATCCTATTTTGGTCGGGTTTGTTTCATATTTCCCTTATTATTTAACTTTTCTTTTAAGAATAAAATATGTTCACACATTCTCAGATGGAAGACCCCCACTGCTATCCATTTTCAACCATAGTCAAATATGCTTAATCTCTCAAAAGGTTCAATTATTTTAATTTTTCTTCATAGCTATCTTTTTATGATTTGCCATTTTCAGACCAGCATTACCTTTTAGAGACATAATTCAACTGGTGATTTCCTATAATACCTAGATCCATTTCTGCAAAACCCCTGCTTAGCCAGGTATTCTCCTTCCATTTTTATGCCCTTTGTCTTCCCAATCAATATAAATACTTGTGGTTGTTCTAAATGAACTGCAGCCAGTCTTTTTCTCCAGGCACTCCTCCATTTTGTCAAGATTGTTTGTATTCCAAGCCTGCATTTCTCCGTTTTTGCAGTCATTCCTAGCTTTGTGTTGTGTGTTTTTAAAGTTTGCAGGCTCTCCAGTTCATGATCCATATCTCTAACAAAAATATTGAATACTAAGTGGTTCAAGAGATATTTACTGCAGATCTGTTCTTGCACAACTCATCACTCTACCTACAAAATTAATATTAATTACTTAATCACTAAGATACCACATTCCTTCTTTTTCTTTTTGAATGAGATTTTCATTCCGAAAACAGAAGCAAAGGTAAGTCTATGATTTCTACCATGCCACCACCACCTTCTCCATTCGGAAATTAAACGAAGATTTTGTATTTTTCAGTTTCTGGCATTTCCCTCTCTTCTTGGGGTTCTCAAAAATAATAACAAATCCTTTTGCGACAGATACCTGACCCAGAGTAGTCCAGAATGGATGCTTTTTGGCATAGCTGATCTGAAACCTACCAAATACATTCTACCAAACCTGGTCTAGTAACCTGTTTTAGTCTTTGTCTCAGATCTGTTAGCCATTGGCTTGCAGCTGTGAAGAGTAAAGAAAAAAAAAAACCCACAAACATGCTGCTGTTCTCAGTCTCATATACCCATTTCATTAATTATTCTCCAGCACCCAGACCGAAACTTTTCTGATCATCTGCTTTGCACTGATATAGTTCACAGAAAATATAACAAGATATTACTCATATCTCACATAGGCTTTTCTAATTTTAACTCTATGTACTTAAACTATTTTTTATGGTTGTTCTTACTAACCTGACCTGGTTTCTACCTTTTCTATGCTATTCTTTTTTCTTTTTTTTTTTTTTTCTGCACAGAATATGAATCTCTTCAACTCTTGCTCTCAACACGATGGAGAATAAAGTCACTCAGCTTGGCCACCCAGTACTGAAAGGCAGTGACAGCGTATTCTCTTCCTTTCGTTCTGTGATGAGAGACGCTGTCATGCTGATAATGCATCCAACCAGCAACCAGGATTAGTGTTTTATGATGCTACTGGAAAACTAATGTGTAACTGATGCTTTGCCTTGGCACCAAACGGGAGAGGAGGAGCCCAGCCGCCCGGGGACATCCGTATCTCCATGGTGCCACCTTCTGACTGGCATGCGGGAGAGCCGGCTCCAGGGCTGGAGTATCCCTGCCAGGAAAGGGGATCGGCCCCTTGAGAGCACATCGGCCTGAGGCTGGAGACATGTGGGTGTGAGGGTCGAAAAGGGAGCCCTTGGGAGCACGACCTGGCGTGTATGCAGTGTTCTGTGCTGCACACAGAACAACCTGGGGGTCTTCCAGCCTACTGGGCTCTAAGGCTCACTGCATAAGTGCTGGTTGTCAGGTTTAGGTCATGTTTGAATTACCAGAAATGAAAGAACTACCTGGGAAGTGAATATTTTAAAATATTTTAAATTTTATTTCACAGGAAAAAAAAAGCCCACCTATGTTCACATCAGTTCCAGGTTAATTTACAGTATGATGACAGCAAGACTATTAGACTAAAATATGACTAATAGTCTTATTTTCCATGGATGGAGAAATGGTAGAGTTGATATTGAGGACTTTCTCTGTGACTTATCACAGCTCCCAAGCACCTTATACAGAGATGAGAGCAAATACATATCACTCTTTCATCAATATGAAACGTAGGTCTTGACTTAATTTCTTTGTCCCTTTCTCTTTTTATTTCCATTTATTTAACCTTATGTATAAGTCCACAGGAGACTGCAGACCTGGGATGAATATTACACACTGACTCAAATCCTTCCTTGGTACTTGAGTCCTAGGAAGGGAAATACCACAAATACCTACTGAGGCAGGTATTGGAAACTAGGAGAATCTATTCATTTTTCTTACGTGCTGGAGTGGTCCTCTATGTACCTGACCAAAGGGGACTCAGAAATAGGGCCCTACCCATTAATGGGCTCTCCTGCTTATGGTTGACTCAAAACTTAAAGGCAGCCATGCTGAAGATGCATATGGAAAATATAATCCATCTCAGTCTACCTTGACTTCTAATACTCCTCAAAATGTTAGAGTTACTGGACTAACTTTAGGGAAAATCATTAGAGTATTATACCTCTAGCACTTCTAAATGTTTTGCTGAGAAGCTTAAAAATAATTAAAAGTATAAAAATGAGCAGATATGTCCATAAGATAATGTGGAGAAAAGAATCTGATGGAAGAGTTACTCTTCAGAGAAACTGTTCCTCTTCATGGTAGGGGTCTCTCAACTCTTCTGAAATGAATTAAAGAATATTTGAATTACAAAGCTGAATGAATTAAAGAAAAATTCCTCATATTGTATGCTGTAAAAGATAATTTTCCTCTGACCTTTCTCTTATAAGGTTTAGTTACAAATGGCTTGCTTTGAGAAGTTGATACCTGATACTCTAGATGTCAATTGTTTTGTTTTGTTCTGACGTTTCAAATAATTGTGTATTGTTGCCCATTCTAAGGGCGTAATGCTTACAAGGCACAAGGCTTGAAGAAACCAGGGAGCTTGAGCTCTATGTTCCAACAAAATAGTGCTGCAGGGAGAGTAGCCTAGCAGTAAGCAGCCCTGGCAAATTTTAGAAAATTAAAACTATTCAAGAGGCTTTTCTTTTTGTTCGTTTGCCTAGTTTGAAAATGATATTCTCAGTGGAGATATCTGGAACACTGCCTGTTTGCATCTACATGAAGCAAAAATTCTGTCATATTATTTCAACAGAGTTGAATCTGATTGAACAGGAAAGGTACTCTTTGGTATATGGCTTAATCAAATATATTTGGTTTTTGTGGCTGTGGCTATATTGTCTTCCCCTCTTTAGAGAGCTGTCCAAAGGGGCAGCTGCCATTTTGGGAGCATTGCAGCACATTATTGTGGAGCAAATAAAGAATATATTTTCTATCATACGGCACTGTGGGGTTTTTTGTTGTTTTCTCTAGGTCACTTGCTACCTTTGCTCAGTAATAGATCAGTGAAAGTACATGAAGAGGGTGCATAGCAAAACATTCCAGTACAGGTTTACTTATACAAGGTTTCTTTGTCCTACAGTCAGTCTGTAAAGAAAGAGAAAATGGCTTATTATGAAGCTAACTAGAGATGATTTTGTGGTTCCCAAAAATATGATTTTTACAATGTGTGGTTTTTTCTTGAAGAGAGTGCCAAGATCTTCAGTAAAAATACATTTGTAAGCTTCTCTTAAAGAATAAGTTAAGAAATCAACCCAGAAATATCCTTGTTTCTGTTCAGAAACTTGCTGAGTTTTCCAGGTCACAGAAGACTATTTCCTGTCAGAACAAGAAGAGAGCTAAACCACTGATTTGTTTATGGGTGAATAAAAATACTATGGCTGTAAAGTGCTTTGCTTGTGGGGAGGGGGAGAATGGGAAAAGTCCAGAAGTTGCTGGGGATTTTTTCTCCTTCTAAAATTAAATAATGTTATTTATGTGCTTGTTTCACCAGCAAGTGACTGCCCTTAGTACACCTTCAGGTTTTGGAATAAAATCCTGCTTTAATCAGTGTTACCTGTCCACTGTAACAAAGCCTGGACTGAATCAAGTGGAGACCAGAAGCAATTCTTTATAACCAGACTTAGACTTCATTTGCTGAGGCCTGATCTCTCCCTTTGACTGCCATAAGCAGGTAAAACATAAAATCTTGAGCTTCAGATTCTTTCACATGCAGATTATGGGACAGTTGTCATCTTTGGGATTTGCAGAGGGCTCCTAGGAAAGATAGTGCTGTGGTTTTAGGAAGCTGTGTTTCCGGGTTTTAAGAAGCTTCATAGTTTTAATCTCTTGATGGAGGGACGGTAGAAATCAGCTGACTGTATGGATATTCCTGGAACCATTCCTTTCCCCATCACATATAGGATACTGGTTTAGTTGTGTGTGGGCACTATATTTTGGAAGGACTAGACCTACTTGATAATATGTCCCTATAAACATCAAAGTAAAATATACTGGTCCTAAATAGGACATTGATATAGCAACTGTAATCTGAAATAAAATATCAGTCTGAGTCAGTTTGTGAGGTTTTGTGTATGGATTTAAAAGAAAGAAAAAAGCTGAGATCCAGGAATGATTAATGGAAGTTAATCCAGAAATGTTGCCTTGCAGCATTCTAAGCAAGAACAGAGGACTGATTCAGCCTCTGCAGTTTTGTATGCAAATTGCTCTTGCAAAGGAAGGGAGATGGCTTCTGACAACTTGACTCTAGCAGTGCTGCAAGGCCCCTAGAACGGTCCTATTTTCTATTTTCTCCAGTTCCTTATATTCCTTGAGGTGTTGATAATGAAAGACTCCTGCCCAAACTGAATGCAGCTCATGTTGACAGAGACAGCAAATACACATGGTAGCTTTCATATTTCTCTGTCAAATCGTTTGACTTTTTTTCATGCCTTTTCCATAGGGCAAACTGTGAAACAACATACAATTTCTGTCACCTCCTTGAGGTTTCAGCAGTGGGGTTACAAAAGATGTGCAGGTCTCCAGAAAAACATTCAGAAAATGGTGTTTGAATGATCTTTGAACTCTTTTTAAGATTCAAAGGAACTGCCTCACTTTCTCTGTAACCTCAGTAATTGCTGATTAAAAAAAAAAAAAGCAGATTTTAGAAAGAAATCATGCAATCTAGAAACATACTTTCCATCTGTGTATTGCGGCTGAAATCCAAAATAGGCCAGCTGGTCATAGCACAGCTCACATATTCACAGTATCTGTCCTCTGAATAAGTCATTTCATCATAAACAGTGGAAAGCAAAAAGCAGAGTCTTAGCTTCTCTGATTTTTCTTCCCCCTCTATTTGACACTCAGAGGACTGGCAGATACTAAAAGATTCTTCTCTGATGTTAAATTTGATATCGTCATTGCATTTTATTTGCTGCTCAAATATGTCTTTTTAAAACTGTGTGATCCAGGATGTGGAGTGGAATGTTTGTTGTGGCAAATGCCTCTCTTCATTGGAGCAGTTTGGTCTGGCAGTGCTCCCAGTTGCTGTAGATTTAGCAAGTAAGTTGTGCACAAACCCTTGATTTTTGTTCTTGCTTTTTGTGGCACTCTATATCTTAAGAACTCCTGCAGTTTTTGGAACTAGAAAGTAGTGTCTTTCAGTATCTACATTTTATATCTAATCAACAGGGACTGATCCTAGCAAACTAGAAATTCCTCTTTAAGTAATGGGAAATCTCTCCTTTATTTCCCTCTACATTATTGATTTTGCTATGGAGAGCACACTCTGTGCTCAGGGGTTGCAACCTTCCCTGTTCCTTCCCTGGGCTGGAATGTTTTGAACCAGCGCTGGTCACTCTGTGCTAAAACATTTTAGATAAAAAAATAGAGATGATGTGTCAGGTGGGGGAGGAAGGATGAAAGGTAAAGCTGTGGTAGTAGTAGTACTGCAGGATCATGAAATGGAAGTTAGTCACTGCAGTTTTCTGAAGTGATCTAAATCAGTTTTGACCAGACACAATGGATAGGGAATCAGTGACCAAGCTCTATCTGAAACATAACCAGTGAAGGAAAATTACACCTGAACTTACAGTCTGGTGCTTTCCTATTTTTTCTGATTTTCCATTCTTCAAGTATGAATAGACAGGACAGACTGTGTTTAAAGTGCTTTCTCTACCTAATGGCCAAACTTTTGGCTACTTCTGTGACAAAAAGCATGAAGCTGCAGTCTACAGCAAATGGATATTAGGCTGGGAGTGGGAAAGAATGCCTACTTTCACAAAAGTAATCAAAACCCTTACTGCATGTATAGTGCAGTTTCCATGCATCCATATTATACCTCCATGCCTAAATAACTACAAGCACAGCCTTACCCTGGGCTCTTAGAAGAATACTATTATGCTTTGTAATTGCAGCTGTGTGTTAATAGGATTCCTTCTCCTCATTAAAAATGGTGTTCACTCTAATTGTATGGCCTTTTCTGTACTCTATAAAGGACATCAACTTGTTCCATTAACTTTTTTTTCCCCTTTTAATAAGAGAATGTCTCCTTTGGTAATTAATTGCCAAAATGCCTTTATTTGATGCAGATTTACTGGCATTACAGAATCACTTAGGAAGAGCGGAACCTCTGGAGGTCTCTAGTCCGATACCCAACTTCATAAGAACTGTCTCCAAAAACAGAGTAGGTTGTTTAGGGTCTTGTCCAGTGGGTATTTGAATATCTCCAAGGATTAAGGTTCTACATGCTTTCTAGGCTACTTGATCCTCTGCTTGACACCTCTCATCATGCAGACTTTTTTTCTTAAATCTAGTTGAGATTTCCCTTGTTGCAACTGGTGTCCATTGCTTTTTGTCTTATTACTATGCATCTCCAAAAAGAGTCTGTCTTCTCTATAACCACCCGTTAGTTATTTATGCTGCAATTGTTTACAGAGCTGCATGAATGGCTGGTGGAGAGAGACAGATACTCTGAATAGCTGTCAGACTGAAGTAAATAAAATTAGAACCTGCTGGGCAGAGGCTTCTGCAGGTCAGGAAGGAGGTACAGGTGGTCTGAGCAGCCAAGTGAAGTGCTGATGATCTTACCTGGGAATACAAGAAGAAAGGTGGTATAGCTACCAAAATACTTCTCTATGGCTCTGCGTGCTCACAATTAGACAAAGTATCCCCTTGTACTTGTTGTGTGAGAATTTTCGCACTAGTGCCACATAATAGTTATTCCAAAAGGTAGCAAATGGTAGCTTGGAAAAACTTGGTCCTTAATGAACCGTGATGGTTCATTATGAACCTGCGTAATGAAGGTCTTACTGGGAGCCTAGAAGGACTCCTTCTCCTCTGTGTGGTTTTGGGTGGGCTTATCCTTAGTGAAAATCAATGCAATTTTTCAAAACAATTGAAAATGCATGTGAGCCGTACCTGTCCATTTCATTTGTTCTTAACCTATGGTGGACACACCGGAGCACATCCTGCTCACTGCACTGCTCACTCCACCTGGGCAGGCATGTCCTGGGCTAGTTCTAACATGAAAACTAGAGAAGAGTGAAAGTCCCTCCCTTGGACTTTATACCTCCTTGTGATACAAAGTTTCACACAGGGTTGGTATTGGTACTGGACAACTGATCCCTGAGATAAGGTCTGAGGTCTGAGTCCCTCTGGAATGCAGGTGGAACAGAGGTCTCTGCATTCTCCCATATCTCTGCTCTCAGTCTCTGCGGTCTGGCTCACACTGTGTGTTCTTTCCTCATTCATGGCAAGATACGTGCTACATGCACCTCCTAGGTCAGCACCAGAATGAACAGCTCTGTGCAAATGCATTTCATATCTTTTGAACTCCCAGTGAGATCAGGTGGCGTACTCAAGCAAAGTTGGCAGTCTTTTCATATTTACTTGGATAATAATATGTACAATAGATTCTGCTTCCTATCCCAGAAATTGTTTGTTCAAATCTGGTTGTGTGTGAGTGCTCAGGCACAAAAAATTGCTGCCATTCAGTCAGGATTAGGTGTGGTTTATATCCTTACAGATTTGTTTATTTGTGGTGTGGTTCCATCCTTAGAGATGCCTGTTTATTGAGGTCTGTGTTTAATTCTTTACCTCTCTACCTACCCATATACTTAACTTTACTCAGTTAAGTAATACGGCTGAAGTTTAGCATGAATCTCTAGATTGAGGTCTGCCTCTGCATTAACTTGCTGTAATGAAAATGTAAAATAACCAGAGCAAACCCCTATTCTAACTACGTATACAATCAAATATGCCCTCAAGTAATTGGATCTGTAGAATAGAAAGCAAAACATTGCAAATGGTACTGGTTTGCAGTAATTCATAATCCTTTAAGCATATAAATCCACCAGACAGCTTAGAAGTGCAATTTCTGCCATCAGCTATGTTGAAAATGCACTTGCATACTTAGTACTAAACTATGGCATCAAGCAACAAGCCACGCTCCAGGGATGGTGTAGAGCCCCTATCGCTCCCGTGCCACTCCTGGGAGCTGTCACGTCTGGGGGGGGGAGCACAGTGCCTGCAGAGCTGCTCTTGCATCACTATTAATTAGGGCGCCGTTTGCACTCCTTTCTGCATCTTGTCAGCTTCCGTGGCTGGTGTGAGGGACGCGATAGCCTCGTCCCCTTAGTGAATGCCACAAGAACTGCTGCAGCGGGTCACAGCCAGAGTCCAGCCAGCCCAACACGCCTTTTCTGACAGTGGCCTGCAGCAGAGGTTTAGAGAAAGAGAAGCAGAGAGAGACAATTACAGAGAGATGCTTTTCAGTGGTTTTCTGGGAAACCAGGAATGTGGAGGCTTCTTGAGCCAGATATTGTCTCTACACTTTAGCATATGATAGCTGTACAGGCTGCCAGTGAACTTGTTATAATCTCCCTTTGAATTATTTTTTCTCTTCCTGCCTCTCCGATATTCGATGGCAATACATTCCATAACGATTCCCTGATGTATAAAACAGTCATTTCTTCTGCTGCCTATAACCTACCACCTGCTAAGTGTACCAGGTAATTTCCCTCATGGTCACCTTCCCATTCTTGCACTTTGAGAAAAAAGGTACTTGACCCCGATGGGCAGCAACATCTTTAAAACATTCCACTTTTCCTGTCCACTTGCTTGTACAAGGTGTACAAGTAGGGAAAAGATGATTTTGTGCCCAGCTTAAACACAAATGGATGAAAAAGAAAAGGATACGATCCGACAGACACCCTCAACAATGACCATGTATTTAGGAGTGGAGAAGGCTCACCTCTGTAGCTTCTTGCCACAGAAGCAAAGATCAGGGCAGAGATCCCTTTCTGCACCAAGAACAGCAAACAGCTTTTAGTGACAGCAAAGCCTGTTTCTAACAGTAGAATGTGGAGGGGATGTTTTCCCTTTAAGAAATATCTATTCAAGTTAATTGAAACATCTGTGTAAAATTCATTACATTGTTTTCTTTCAAAAAGAAATGACAGTTCAGTTCAAAGCTTTTGAATTATACTTAGGTTTTTCTTTAGACAAATGGCTTTTTTCATTTAAAAATTAAGTTTACTAGGGTTTAATTTTAAAGAAAACAAAAGAAATGAAGAAAAATGCAGGGAAAGCAAGAAAGGCTGTCTTCGCCTCCATTGTGAACTGCTCTTGATAAAAAATGCTCCTCATCAAAATAACAAGTCCCCTCCACCTTCTCTGATATGAAGGATTAGACCTGCTATAGAAGTACTAGCTACTTTGTCTTTAAAATGGTCTTTGTCAGGCTGTGTGTGCTGTGCAGTCCAGACCTGGTGAGTGATAATTATGATTAAAGTTACATTATACTGTATTTACATATTTTGAATTGGATTCCAGGTAACAAATAATAAGAGAACCAAAGAAGAATATTCACAAAACAGTATTTCATTCTTCCCTCTTTATTTGATGAGAATTTTCCATAGAGGAATCAGGATTTTTAACCTATCAATTCTAACAGTTGTAAACTGAATAACAAGCAGAATTTCACACATAAACATCTGCATTTTTAAAATATCTCAGATATAGAAAATCTCCCATTCATTGGCCTAGCAGATGTTGAAATCAAAATAGATTTCTCTATTATTCTTAGAGGAGATCAAAATGTGAGCTGATTCTGAAAGAGTGACTGAACAACAATCCCTATCTCCCCACAGTATGGAAAAAGATACAACAAAAATTAATGTCCTCCAAGGCCTTATTTGACATTTCTACCTCTTATTTGCTTATTTAATTCTAGGACAGGCACAGTAAAGTAAAATAGGTGTTAGTACTGCTGGCAGACTGATGGAGACTTTGCAGGTGCAGGAAATAGATACTGAGAAGCAATGACTGAATATTCTTGTTAATGCTCTCTCTAGCAATGGATTAGTATTTATTTTAGGAAATGTCTGAAATATATGTAATACCAATAAACCTCAAAGAAGTGTTCTTCTCTAAGTCAGTGTGATTGCCAAAAGACTACTGCTACGTAAATGAAAATCTGCTGATTGTTTAGTGTTGCCAAATGTTTAACTGGCCTCTGAAACTTGGCATACACAATGAAAATTAGTTACCAAATGGGTAAAACAATAGAAATTACCCAGGAAACACGCTTTTGAGTGGTGTGCTGGGATGGATGGAGTGCTTTGCTGCCATTACCTCCTGCTGCATGGGTCGGGTGAGCCCCTGGTGAAATGCCCAGAACCCAAAGTTTGCTGTGGGAGGTGCAGAGAGCTGGGCAGCCTGTGACAGCAGATGCAGCTCAATGGCTCAGGGCTTGGTGAAGGAGCACACAGAAGAAGATATGGCAGTAGTAACAGGACCATATATTTCAGGATGGGAGGCTGCTATATGCTTCTGGTCTACAAATCTCAGCACAGAAGGTCAGTGGGGGATGATGGAAGTAATTTATAGGAATTGATAGGAATACTTGTGTCCAGCATAGTGTCTTGATCTTGGAAAATGTCAGTCCTCTGAAGAATGGTAGTCTGAACTCAGGTTCTTTTGTCACATGTCTGGACCTAGACAGGATAATTCTGTGTCAAAGAATGAGACTGGGTCTACATGTGGCTCCTCTGGCTCCAGTCAATCCCACATGGTCTCAGACGACTATAAAGAAATTCCCTTTGGGGTCTTCCAGTGTGAGAGAACTAAACACTCATTTAAGCCCCAAAAAAAATGGTGCAACACAAATACTTTTTTTTTTTTTTCCCTGGCTAAAATGAGGACCTAGGTGACTGCTTCGGGTGTGTCTGCAATGTAAGAATACCTGCAAGTTAGGTGAGATTAGGGGCCTATTTACAATGTCTGTGGATTGTAGCCATTATGAGCTTCTGAATAAGCACACCATTCTGGCTTTGTGTCAAAGATCTGGCATGACATTGCTCTAAGGGGAAAAAATGTTCATGCTTGGTTTCTTTGATCCAGATGTGGAAAGCTCAGTGTAGGAACCAAGCCTGGCAGCAGC